CTCTCTCTCTCTCTCTCTCTCTCTCTCTCTCTCTCTCTCTCTCTCTCTCTCTCTCTCTCTCCTCTTACCTTCTGAGTCAAAGACTACTTCGGGGTTTCTCCTATGGGAGTACTGTAGTATGAAGGAATGTTACGAATTCTGATAACATTGGGAACAACGACATTGGGACTATTTGTTCTGGACTATTTAGGGATCTGACTTCATCTTCCTTCTAAAGATGTAGTTGACATTGTGAGATCGATGTCTGAGACATTGTGAGACTTGGTATTCGCGACATTTCGGATTTTCGTCACTCCTGACATTTCAAGATACTATCTTTGGAAACATCGAGTTGACGTCATCTTCTCTCTCCTCCTCCCTTCGTCTCCCTCCTCCCTCCATTCGTCCGTGGATCAACAAAAAAATTCCCACAAGAAATGAAAGTTGAAAAAACATTCCATAAAAAAAAAATCATTCATATTTATAAATTATCATTCCAATGTTTGTCCAATTCTAAAATTTCCAGTTTTATTTGATAAGTTACCGTCTAAATATGAGTTTTCCCTTCCAACTACATCTATTTATTCAAGATGGAATGAAAGCCTGGACGAGTTTATGAAATGTTTTAATTAAACTTTCATTCTACTACAACAAATATCTTCTAATTTAGATTGGATTAACCTATTTATGACTAGAAATCCTTACTTAGAATAACAGTCCAATTAAAATATTTCATGAACTCATCCAGACTTTCATTCTATCTCTAGCATCCAGTTCAAATAAGAAGGGACACACCATTCTTGGAAGGAAAATTTTCAAGCAAAACGAAAAATGTTAAAATTGGAATGACATTTTTAAAGATGGAATGAAAATTTAAAATTTAGAATGTAATTTTACTATAGAATGATTACTTTATTCTGGGAAATTTTTCTGTTGATGATCTCAGACCCCGGCCTTCGTCTATGTCTACGGCCAGGGCTTTCACACCCCGATGTATGAATGAGAGTGTTCGATTGGAGTCCGAGTCTGGTCAGAGTCAGTCCGTGGGTATCAACTCCTTTTTTTCGTATGTGTATTAACTCCGTATTATCTGGTCGGTTCTGGGAATCTGCGCCATACTTATGACTGTGTTTCACGAGTATGCACAGTTTGGTATCGGAGCAAACCAACATTGGATGACTCACCATTGATTGATTGATTGATTATCTACACCTGCAGGTCCTTCTCCTCCTCCT